TACCATTGCAAAATTAAAGTTCACATTCATGCACACAATTTCATACTACTCAATTGCAATATAAAAGTAATTATAAACATGGGTGAAGTGAATGTGTGTCCTCGCAGGCGAATAAAAATACAAATCAGGAAATCAGGAAATCATCAATAGTGCATTTGGCATTGTTCAAACAATTAAAGAAGCACAGTCTCAGAGAAGAAGAAGAGCAAGACAATGGAACTAGATAAATGCAAAGAGCTGTCAACAAACCTTCAAGTTTTCCAAGAACCCTTTTCACGGCACCAACACAACTTTGGCATGATACCAACCTTGAGGATTGTATAGATTGCACCAAAAACAGATCTAGGATTGAATTACAAAAAAATAGAGAAAACAAAGATCCAACATATGCCAACTTTACACTATCAAACGTATGTTAAAATATTGGCATCTCATAGAACTTACAAAATCTCCAATCACTTTCAAAAGAAGTAAAGGATTAGAATCTTGCATTTGTTGGTGGTGCTACTGGTTTCAAATTATGATGTTGGTTTCTTACAGTTAAAACCCACATTACTGTTATTTCAGAGAGCATCTATGAGTTTTATATGTATTCTTACAGGTTGCTCAGAAAAGCCAGAAGTCCTAATTTGATATATCACCTAAGCGATTTCACAGACAAATCACAATCACAAAAGAGTGAATACACCACTTTCAAGGAGGTCTGCATGTCCAAGTCTCAATCACAAAACAGTGTATGCATGATTTCAGAGACAAATCTTAAGTACAAAACAATGTATCCAAGTCTAAGAGCTTGACAACCACAAGAAATAGTTGGTAAATTTCATTCAATCACAGAAACAGCAAACAAACCACAACAAAAACCCATTAATGTCTCATTCAAAATAGTAAAAGTAATCACCCAATAATCTCAATCAATAACAGAAACCCAAAAAAAAAAAAGCAAAACCAATATTAGAACTCACCACAGTGAAGATCGAAGATGAAGGTGTCGTGGCTTTGTGGTGGAAGTTGACGACGGAGGTGGAGAGTCACGATTGTGGCTCCGTTATGGAGGCCGACGACGAAGGTGGTGAGTCACGCCTTGGCTAGGGTTCAATTCCAAATTTGGGGTTCAACCTTGAGGTTCAAATTAGCTCCTAGTTTGAAGATATAACTAAGAGGAGATTGAGTTAAGCGAGATTCTATGGTGGAGGTGGATTCCTGTGAGGTTTGGCAGAAGGAAGAAGAGGATGAGGAAGAAGAAGAGCAACGACTGAGAACAAAAAAAACCTAAGTGAAGGATGGGCAATAAGTTGTCAATAGGGAGTTTTTATAGGGAGTATTTGTGATTAGATTTCAAAATGGGGATAATATTGAATAAATTAGCTGCGCCGGGGGCAAAGCCGCCAATTTCCCATTTTTTAATGGCTCAACTCCTTTGGGCCCAGATGACACATGCTTTTTAATTTGAAAAGTGCCAACTTTTGCGTCACTAAGTAGAAAAAAGTGATCGCTTAGTTGAGGTATCTTCAGTTTTATATGATTCCCAATTGTCTTTTGGCATAACGACACATCTCTTAAAAAAAAATCTAAAGAGTCTAAAAACAGAGAAAATAAAATTTCAATAAGAAAACTCTATTCGTACTCTCTAACAACCTCCTGCAATTTTGCAGGAATGTACTTAATTCACTCCTGCAAGAGTGTGAGAGTGACACGAATTAGCGTCATTCGCGCTCTCCAGCCTCATATCCTTACAATTACAGATCAATCTCATTGTTTCCTTTTTGTCATTTTAGGCCATGTTTGGTGGGCTGGACTGGACTAGCTTTTTTCAATTAAAATGGACTATAATCTTAACCAGTCCAGTCCAGCCCACCAAACAGGGCCTTAGGGTTGGGAAGATTGTTTTCATCATCCAAAAGAACATGCAAGTGGGTTATACAATTGTCCTCTACCTCACAAATGGGAGATGTCTTTCACTCTCTTTTTAAGTCTTGTATGGTGAATGCGTGAAGCATAGCACAATATGCCAATTTAAGTAGCCAAAAAATAAAAGCAATCACACAAAGAGCACTCATATTCTCAGTTCTAATCTATGGTCATGGCTTACCCAAAATTGTATAATGTCCTCTCCTTCTACCTTGCAACCATCATAGCCATTTCTCAATTCTTGATTTCCATCTTACCTTATTTGAATCCAATCACACTCCTAATCACACTTGCAGATGCACTTTTATCTCTATACTTGAGATTATGTGGTCTTTGTCCCTGCACAGTTGAATTAGATGACCAAACTACAATGAACTTTTGGGTTGCAAATTCTAGGAGGTCCAATAAGCCTTCTCTTGTAATGCTTCATGGGTATGGTGGCAATTCAAAGTGGCAATTCATCCATCAAGTGGGTTCACTTTCTCAAAGTTTCAATCTATACATACCTGATCTATTGTTCTTTGGCAAATCCTACACCAACAGGCCAGAAAAGGACAGAGGTTTTCCAATCAAAATGTGTGGCAGAAGCGTTGAAGACATTAGGGGTGGAGAGATTTGCTGTTTACTCTATAAGTTATGGAGGGTATGTGGCATATTGGATGGCTGAGATGTATCCAGAGTTGGTGGAGAAGGTTGTAGTTGTGAGTTGTGGGGTTGGGATGACAGATGAGCAGAAAAGAGAGCAGATCAATAAGGTTGGAAGCAATGCATTGAATCTCCTTGTACCTGAAAGTGCTCATGATCTGAGGCTCTTGGTGAATCTGACAATGCACAAACCTGGCCCTTCTAAGTGGGTCCCTGATATTTTCCTTCATGGGTTCATCAATGTGAGTCTAATTCCTTCATTTTTAGAACACCACCTTACATGGTAGATTATAGTTATTTATTCTTCAGTGGTATTGGCATCCGTCATGGCATAATTGTATGTTATATTGTCAAATTGTCAATAATGTAATGATTGATGTGCCTGGTCGGTGATCACTTATCCGTTGCACTAATTCCTAATTCTAATAGCATTGAATTTGTAAGATATATCAATTCCTAAATTTTATAAAGGTTTGCATGCTGCATATGCAGGTGACCTATAAACAACACAGGAAGGAGAAATTAGAGCTGGCAGAGCACTTGCTGAGGAAAAAAGCAGATATAGACCTTCCCATTCTAACTCAAGTAGTTAACTTAGCCATAATTTAAAAACTTAGCCTAATTAATCTTTCTCTTCAGTCTTGTAAATGGATGTTATTTTTGTGTGAAGGAAACACTGATAATTTGGGGAGACAAGGATGATGTCTTCCCTGTGTACTTGGCCTATCAGCTGCAAAGGTGACTTTAAACTAATTTATTTCATCTTCATGATCAAATTTAATCAGGATTTGAAACCAATCTGAACCTATTGTTAATGTTTTTTTTTCAATCTACAAGCAGTTGGGGCCAAAATCAAAGGTGGAGATAATCAAGGACACAGGTCATGCAGTAAATATGGATTCACCCATTTCCCTGAATGCTCTGATAACTTCATTTGTTTTGGGTTACTCTTAGTGTGGCAGACTTGCATTATCAAATATATTGAATGATGTATTAGTTTTGGGTTAAACAGAGACTGCTGCTGGCCACAGATGGAGCAAAATTGTATATATAAGTAGGATATTTTCATGTTATTGGTGAAGTTGGAATGAGGAGAAACCCATACACAGAAAGAGGGTTATGCTTGCTTATGGGTCATCTTCGATTAATTTATGCAGCTACAGCTGTGAGATGGCCTAACTTTTGCAAGCAGGCATGCCTTGAATCTTGATGTAACTTTTGTTTGTCAAGAAATTGCTGTTTGTGTCACTCACTCCCTACACAAAACAAGCAAACACAATGGGAGATTAGATTCACACGGTCACACCATATAGAGATATGACCAATAAGCGAAATTGATGTGCTTGTGATCAGGTCAAAGGACTTTCTTGGAACAATTTATAAGATGAAAATTGCTAGGATTGTTCGTATATGGGTTGTTGGTTCATGCGTCCATCTATGGTTAGAAATCACTGTGCATGACCAATGATCACTCTCATCTTAGTTATAACATTTATGTCACTTAGGCTAGCACATTGCATCATCTCAAGTTGAAAGAAGGGAAATTGGCGGCTTTACCCCTGGCTCACCTAATTTATTCACTAATATCCTTATTTTGAAACCCAATCACAAATGCCCCTTATAAAAACTCCCTATTGACAGCCTATTACCCATCTTTCACTTTTGTTTAGTCATTCTGAGCTCCCTGAAATCCTCTTTCACAATTTCTTGATCTCACTCACTCAACCCTCATCTCCTCTCTTCTCTCTCTCGCTCGCACCCACATCGGTGACAATCACTGTCACCTCCTCAGAAACCCTAACCCACATCGGCAACAACGACCTTTCCACCTCCATCTCTCACTCTCTGTCACCTCTTTCGACCTCTATACCTAGAGATGGCGTCTCAGGTAGCCAATTTTCTCCTACACATTT